GTTCCTGAATGAATCAGCTGTTTGAACGAATCGACTGAATGAATGATTCAGTGATAAAATCAGACTTACCGCCATCTACTGGTAGTTTTAGTTTCATTTTATCATTTCAGTTATTTAAATCATTTAATATTTCTATATTCAAAATTTTATATTTAAAACTTTTATCTCAACATTAATTTAATTGCATTCATGCCACCTCTGAGCCTCATTAAACGTCTGTAAATATACCTACAAGCCACTTTTTTGTTCTTCTGTGCCACCTCCGTAGTGCAAATTAAATTTGTTAATACTGATTTCATTTGATCGGTAACTTATTTTTCTTATTCTATTGTTTTAATTAGAAATTTTGAAAAAGCTTAAAAATATAAATTTGAATTTCACATAAGTCATACTTTTAATAAAGTTAGAAAAATGCAACTACGAAGGTAAAAATAGTAGAAATAAATTCAGTTTTAGCAGTCAGACTTAAAATAACTCTATCATGGGTTTGATTTCCAGTGAATGCATGAACCGATCAAATGTTTTCCTTGAATGCAATGTAAGTGTTAATCAGAATAGAACCCAGAACGTTATTTATATTGATCCTTTAACATTTTGTTGTCCCTTAATAGTTCAGTGACTTCATCGCATCCTACTTTCAGTGTTTTGTGGAAGAGGCTTGGGGACGGTGGTCAGAGCGAAAGAGATGCAGGAGTTACTGAGAGAACTGAGTCACGCCAGTGATTCCAACAGGAGGAAAACAGAATCAGACAGACGGATGTCAATGACTTCCTCGCTGCCGAGAGGAGAGGTGCGCACACACACACACACACATTATAAAGTGTGCTGTGATACAGATCTGCTGCTCACACAGTGATTATGATGAGGTTTGTTCATATGCTCAAACTGAAGATCAGTCAAATGAACGATGAAGCTGCTCAACACTCATACTGGGAAATACAGCACAAAACCAGTCATAAGGGTCAAATTTTCTTAATTGAGATGTATACATCAGCTGAAAGCTGAATAAATAAGCTTTCCATTGATGTATGGTTTGTTATGATAGGACAATATTTGGTCGAGATACAACTATTTGAAAATCTGGAATCTGAGGGTGCAAAAAAATCAAAATATTGAGAAAATCATCTTTAAAGTTCTTAGCAATGCATATTACTAATCAAAAATTAAGTTTTAATATATTTACAGTAGGAAATGTACGACATATCTTTATGGAACATGATCTTTACTTAATATCCTAATGATTTTTGGCGTAAAAGAAAAATCTATAATTTTGACCCATACAATGTATTGTTGGCTATTGCTACAAATATACCCCAGCGACTTAAAAATTATTAAAAGTAAAAAATATTAACTATTAGTTATCACCATACTTACCCAGTTAACTGATTACATTGATAATTGCAAACATTCTTTGTTTTACAAGTTTTCTAAAATGTTATGTTTAAATATGCAAATGAGGCATTATTTAATTAAATATGCGCTAATTTGCATATATTTCTAGTACAAAAATCTGAACACTGGATTAAGTCAGTTTCAAAATTCTTGTTTATTTATTTATTTTTTTACATATTAGAGTCAAATGTTTTTACAGAGGGAATTTTGGGCATCTCTTTTTGTCACTCCATAATTCAGATAAATCTTTGAACAGCCAGAAAACAATATATTTTCACAATTTTGGGGGGGATAAAATATTGTATATAATCAAGCAAATTATATATGAACATATGTAAAGTTTGGTGTGTGTAAGTGCTACTGAAGTAATATTAAAAATATGTATTGTAATTGAAATCTATTGACACAAATAGATAAAGTGCTGTAAAGGAAACACTTAACAGTGTCTTTTGGATGTTTTCTTTCCACTAGTCTTTATGAAGAGCCAAAAAGCCCAAAATCTCAAAATTGACAGGTGCATTTAAAAACAGTGTTTTTGCCTGCAGTCTCCCCTTAAAAGATGAATGATGGTATCAGGCGAAATTAACATTTGTCCAGAAAACACAATAAAGTTTTGTTTACATGTCGAAGTAAAATCTAAAGGTAGTAATATGCATCTGTCTCATATGAAATACTTTAAATAATCATGTAATTATCCTAATCAGATGCATCAATTGCCACCTTATATCCTTATTTATAATTACAAATTTAAACAAAATTTAAACAAAAGCTTTAATGGCATTGCCAGTACGTTTTAATTTTTTAATTTACATTTTATTTTATTTTATTTATTAAATTAAATTAAATTAAATTAAATTAAATTAAATTAAATTAAATTAAATTAAATTAAATTAAATTAAATTAAATTAAATTAAATTAAATTAAATTAAATTAAATTAAATTAAATTAAATTAAATTAAATTAAATTAAATTAAATTAAATTAAATTAAATTAAATTAAATTATAATCAAATAAAATAATAAAATACAATAAAATAAAATTTTAATTAAAAAAATTAAAATGTACTGGCAATGTTATTAAAGCTTTTGTTGCATTTAGAGAATTATAGGGCATGGTTTACTACATTTCTATTTGTGATCAAAGGCATTTTTATGTGATTTTTTTAAATATAATTAATCTAATTTACTTAATGTTGCAAGAACTAAATAATTTATTCTATGCATGGACTGTTGTTTTATTATAAGTATTGTTCATTTAGTACATTGTGTGTAGATGTTGTTGTCAGCAAATCATCCGCCTGATGTGACAGTCATTGGGAAGTGTGTGTAAACATGCTGTTTGTGAGCGATACGGATGTACTGTCTGTGTTAGCAGGCGGTTGCATCATTGTTGTTGTGTTTTTCTGATGCATTGGATGCTCAGGATCAGGATTTGCTGGATCTCAGTTTTGCTCCACTGAGGACTGAGGGAAACGATGTTTGCTGTCTAGACCACAAGACGAGCCGCAAAATGCTGTCTGTTGCTCATGGAGTTGCAAATTCAGCTTTTATTACAGACAACTAAGACCTGCATATGGGACGTGTTTATAAAATATTATTTATTTATACAAGCAACTAAAGAAGATTACATGAAAACAGTTTCCTTCATGGTACTAAACCACAAAATCTGATATAACTGTGCACAGAGCAAAAAAAAAGTGCAACTTTTTTTATACTTTTATTTTTTTTTAATACTTTCTATTCTTTTTTGATACTTTATAATATAATGCAGCATTTCTTTAAGGACGTTATAATATGAAAACATCTTTAGTGCATTTTTTTAGTCGCTCAACCTCTTCTTGAGGTTCACTAATGATTGACATTTTCACAAACGTTTTGTAATTTTATTTAATGAAATAATGCATAATTTTAAACCATTACCGTGTTTTTGTGTTGTTGTTATGTCTGATTCGGCAGCATTATTATATCTGTATTGTTATTTTATATATATTTATATCAAAATGTCTCATTTGATTATCAAACATTGTGATATTTTTCATACATTTTCACAAAAAGTTATATTAATTAAGAATGTCGATTAGCCTTTGAAGAAAAGTTTCTTAAATGTTTTTCATTAATGTGTTTATAGATTGCAGCAACACCACTGACATTGTTTTTAATCTATAAAAGATATATATATAGAGAGGGAGAGAGAGAGAGATATCGCTAACAATTTACAATTAGGTTCCATTTGTGTACATTAGTTAACTATACTTCTAAAGCATTTAGTAATCTCAGTTAATGTTAATTTCAACATTTACTAAATGCATTATTAAAATAAAAATTTGTCCGTTAATATTATTTATTGAACATGAGCTAACAATAGACAGTTGTACTTAACGTTAACAAAGATAAATAATCTGTAACAAATTGTTTGCTCGTAGTTAATTAATGTTTAGTCAGTGCATTATTTTACGTGCTATTTATTTAATAATTAATAACTAATCATTTTAGCTACTTCTCCAACTTTTTCAATTGGACAGATTTTTGCATTTACATACACATGCATGTTTTCATTACACACATGGAAATTATAAGACCATTTCTGCTACTCCAAGTTAGAGTGAAAAGGTGTCCTAAAACACTTTCTAGAGGACTTTCTAAAAGTTAGTGACAGCAGCTGTGAATCGGTGCTGTACTGTAACTTCAACAATGTTCTGGAAGAAATGCTGCATTATTTAGAAGAATGCAAAGAGCGTATCTGTTCTGCTTTCTGAGTTCTGGAGGACCTTCACTGCTGATGTTTCATCCTTACCCCTGTAAAGCCTGACATATTAAATCATAGTTAGAAAAGTTTGCATATGTGTTTTTGTTGAGTATCATATTTGATGCATCAGGCTTTTATGGCTCATATAGTCTGATACAGTGAGAATATTGGAAATTCTGATGCTTGTAATGTAAATCAGTGAGATCTTTATAACAGTGCAGCAGATACTGATATAAAATGATCTGAATATCAGCGGTCGCTCTATATCTCCAGTAATCTGTCTCAGTAAGATGAGATTGAAATGCTCCAAACATATAATGCAGTGATTGAGAGCTGAAGAAATAAAGGCTCCTCAGAAGATGTGAGATGTTCTGGAGGCTTGTGAAGATCATTCCTCCGCTGAGGAACAGTGAAAGTAAAGCTTCTGGAAACAAACGCTCCTCAAAAGATCCTGAGGATCAGATTTGAGACTCTAAAACATGATTGATGGAGAATCAAGTAAAGCTGAGCTGCTTCAGTCCAGTAAGTGTTCATCTGGAGATATTACTGCAGTTATTCTGACCTTTACTTGATCAAAACCAGTCAAGATTTGACACGAGAAGCTCCAGCTGAAGCTGGACGTTTCTACAATTACACTAAAAGAGCTTTGACTGGATAAAACACTCTAAACTATCAATCAGAGACAGAAGACATGCATGAGATCGAGTGTGAAACAAAGCAAAGTTTTGATATGATACAGTAGCTTTATAGAGTTAATCTGTTGAGAAGATGATCAGCACATGATGTTTGTAATGGCATCAGCACTGCGTTTGTTTCTGGCAGGAAGATGTTTGAAGGTGAGCTGCTGGTCTGTTGGGTGTCATTCAGGTCGAGAGCTGATGATAGATCAGTTTTGACACATTGAGGATGCAGCGCTGGCCGAGGAGCTTCTCCAGAGACTGTGGGACGCATGCGTTTCTTTTCTTGGTTTTTAATTCAGCTTTTGTATGCGGCATCTGTTAGTCCTCCATGAGTGCTGCAGGCTGCTGAATTTTAAGCGAGAGTTTGCGGTGAATGCGAGTCACTGGAGGACGAAACCTCAGAGGGACGCAGATGTGCTGAAGGCTTCACTTGACGCTTCAAGGCAGATGTTGTCAAGCGATACCGCAGAGAGCGATTGAACAAAGCCAGCGGTGAGGTTAAAGATGGTGCAGGTGTAGACCAGAGGGACCTTGTTTACGGACCTTCGGTCAGTTTGAGTGAAACTAGGTTAGAAGACGAGGAGTCTGTAGCAGGTCTGTCTTGATGTAGACTAGCTTTGCATGATTAATAGAAATAAAACCGAAATCGCTAGATGGCTTAGTGCCATTATTAAAGCTGCATTCCTTTTATTTTTTGGTTAAAAATGATCCAAATCAAGTACATAACCAATCAGCGTCATTACGTCAGGTCTAGTAGACTATATTTGCAGATGGCGGATATTAAACTTGTCATTTTAGAACGAGTTCTAAGGAACATTAAATTGCTTTTTGAGGTTAAAAGAACAATTTCTTTCGGTGACATTCGAATGGTATGACAATTAGAGATTAGACTGTGCCGAAATTGAAATCTACAGATAATACACTCTAAATACACGTATGCAATGTTGATGTTGTTAACATTAACAATAATAATAATTTGCATGGTTTGATGTGAGCTAACTTTGAGATCGTTAGATTTAATCAGCACTGGCAGTGCGGTTTTATTGTAAAACTTGTTTTTTTTTTTTTCCAGTTGGTCAGAACAAAACTGACTGACAGCCACACATACAACATCAGATTAATCCGCGCTGAAGCACAACCCACATAATGAAGACAATTCTATATTTAGATCACCTCTCAAAAGTGTAAAACAAAGATATGTGAACGAAATGCAAGTTTTGGACATTTGCAAGACATATGAAACACTCTCCGCAATATTTCAGTTAAAAACTGTGTGAAATTCTAAAATGTTTAATGTGAAAACACTGTAAGACAGTGATATTAAAAGATCAAATTCAATGCACACCTTTCTAATGTTGCATACTTTATACAGGCAAGCAGATGAGCCCGGAATATGAATGCAATGCTCTAAATGCAGTGTTGGGGGTAACGCATTACAAGTAACGCGAGTTGGCTGCCTGATCTAAGTGACCTAGAAGGATTGTGATAATGTAAAATGTCAGAAAGATACGCTGGTGCTAGGCCATGTAATGCTTTAAAAACAAAAACTAGAATTTTAAAATCTATTCTCAGTTTGACTGGTAGCCAATGCAGAGAAGTTAAGATGGGAGAGATATGATCAAATTTTCGACTGTCAGTCAGCAGCCTGGCTGCAGCATTTTGTACCATTTGAAGATGCCCGATGGATGATTGATTTGCACCATAATAAAGTGAATTGCAATAATCAAGGCGTGAAGTAATAAATGCATGGATAACTTTTTCAAAGTTCTTTAAAGAAAGAACAGGTTTGACTTTTGCGAGACGTCGTAAATGATAAAAACAGGATTTAACAACAGAATTAATTCGTTTATCGAACTTGAGACCTGAATCAAACAACACACCTACATTTTTCGCACATGGAGTAACATGAGAACTTAAGTCGCCAAGGTCCAGATCACCAAAATCATAGGAATCACTTGGACCAAACAGCATAACTTCGGTTTTATTCTCATTTAAGGCTAAGAAATTCTGTGTAAGCCAAATTTTAACTTCATGTAAACAAGCTAGCAGAACCTCTATGGAACTTGAATCATTATGTTTAAGAGGAAGGTATAATTGGGTGTCATCGGCATATAGGTGGAAAGATACTCCATATTTGGAAAAGATGGAACCCAATGGCAGCAAGTATAAGGAGAACAGTGTTGGAGCCAGAATAGATCCCTGCGGAACACCACAAGAAAGATGTGCAACTGAGGAAGTGTGTTTTCCAATACAGACAGAGAACATCCTATTAGTTAAAAAAGACTGGAACCAATTCAAAACGGTACCCTGAATGCCTAAAAGATTTTCCAGTCGGGAGATGAGAATAGAGTGATCGACCATGTCGAATGCTGAGCTGAGATCTAAAAGGACCAGAGCAACAGCACTCCCTTTATCTGTAGCCAGCAGAATGTCATTAGTAACTTTCAGTAAAGCAGATTCAGTACTATATAGTTTTCTAAATCCTGACTGAAAAGTATCATATAATGAGTTAGAATCCAGAAAAGAGTGAAGTTGAATAAATACAACCTTTTCCAAGATTTTTGAGATAAAAGGGAGATTAGAAATTGGTCTAAAATTACCTAAAACAGACACATCAAGATTTGGTTTCTTCAAGAGAGGAGTAACAGAGGCATGTTTTAGGCCGTCAGGGACCGTGCCAGTACTCAGACACTTATTAATAAAAAACAGGAGATCAGGCCCTATGGTATCAACAATTTGCTTAAAAAAGTGTGATGGAATACTATCGTACGGACAAAAAGTAGGTTTCAGATGATCAATAATGTCTTTACAGGTTTGAAGGGAAATGAAACTAAACATGCTCCAAGTAGAAGAGCACCCAATTATTTCAGGAGAGATATGAAGAGCTGCCAATGATTGTGGTCTTGACCTTGCTATCTTCTCGACAAAAAAGGCCACAAAGTTTTCACATAAGAGATTAGACACATCAGGGAAAACATCAACAGCTGGATTTAAAACAGCATCTATAGTTGAAAATAAAACTCTTGGTCTATGGTGATTTTTTGAAATAATCTCTGAAAGAAATTTAAATTTCGCAGACTTGACAGCTTTCTGAAAAATAGAAAGGGACTCCCTTAAAATGTCATAGGACACCTGCAACCTGTCCTTACGCCATTTGCGTTCTGCTTGTCTGCAGTTTCGTCGGAGTGAGCGAATAGAGTCATTGAACCAAGGAGCAGATTTTTTGATGGAACGCTTGATCTTCAAAGGAGCAATGTTGTTGACAATATTCAAGCAGGTGCTATTAAAACGATTAAAATATGTATTAGCATCAAAGCTTTCTACAGACCAATTTGTAGCTGACAATTCATCGGCTGCCTTATAAGCAGTAGCAAAATCCTCGCAGGCTGTAGGGGAAAAGTAGCGAACCCAGCGGGCCTGAGCAGATGTAGTACTTGATCGACGAGGGAGGGCAGTGGTGAAAGTCAGAAATTTATGATCAGAGAAGCCTGAGTCTCCGATCTCCATGTCCGTAATGTAAAAACCATGGGAGAATACCAGGTCCAAAGTGTGACCATGAATATGCGTGGGACTTTGCACCCATTGAGAAAAACTAAAGGAATCCATAAGATTACAGAAATCCTTAGATAGCGGCTTACCGGGACAACAGATGTGAATATTAAAATCACCAAGCAATAAAATTTGATCGTAGATAGTTACAACATTCCCCAAAAAATCTGCAAATTCACTCAAAAAAGCGTTATTAAACTGAGGGGGTCGATAAATAACAACACACAGAACTGGATTTGCCAAGTCCATTAAAGACATTTGAGCCTCAAAACTCTTATAA